CCTATATATATATATATATATATATATATACCGATAGGGTGTCCGACGGGCCGGTGGTGTCCATAAGTGGTCAGTAGTAGTGGTGATGGCAGTGATAACAATGTGTTTGCAATGCCATGCGTTCAATGCTTAATGCATTCAAACACTATACAGACATTGCATCACACAATGCAATACATTGTGCATGTATTTGTGTGCACTATATTATATGCAGAGCATTGCATTATAGGTGAATACAAACCCCAAATAGTCACTATAATAGTTATGAAAAACAACCCAAATAGTTACTTAAATAGTTACTTATAATTTGACAAAATACGCTTAAAAATTGTATAAAATGTTACCAAATGCCAGTTTCACTCATTAATACATTAAATATAACTATTTTTAAGTTAAATCACTTGTATTTAACTAAATTAAACGTTTTTAAGAATATTTATAATTATTTTTGTTAAAACCCTGAATAATACAAATCATAATTTTGGTCATATCATCGCTTTGAATGATAAATTATTGCAATATTTTATAATAACCTTTACATTTGTCACAGTTGTCATTTGCTAACTAACAAATGGAAAATTAAGTTGTGATTTTCTTTGTGTTTTATATACATAAATATACCAAAAACTTGAAAAATGTGTCAAATAGTTACTAACGCCTCAAATAGGTAAATATAGGTAAAATAAACTTTTGGCAAACTGACCCCCAATACATGGTCGGTTCACATCCCGAGTCTGGGGGTAATACTATTAACCGCTAAAAATAGGTGGTATAGGTAAATGCAATGCTCTGATTATATGTTATAGATGTGTTGCATTCCAATCGTGTGTAAACTCATAGTAAATATATAGGGATTGTATTATAATTAAAATGGGTTTCCTTTCTAGTATAGAGTGATTAGTATTGTTTTAAATAAATTTTTCTTAATTTTGTAATGAAACCTTATTATAAAGCGTATTTATTTTGTAATGAAACCTTATTATAAAGCGTATTTATTTTGTAATGAAACCTTATTATAAAGCGTATTTATTTTGTAATGAAATTTTATTATAAAGCGTATTTATTTTGTAATGAAACCTTTAGCTTTATTTGTAAATATGTGTTAAGTATTGTATTTGATTATTTATAACTAATTTTAATTGTTTTCATTTACTCAGACTAAACTTATTCCATAGACTCATGTCCTGTATTCGGGAGCCATAGTCGATACGCGATGTCTATCTCTGTAGATGCCTTACAAACTTTTAATTTAGTTAAATACAAGTGATTTAACTTAAAAATAGTTATATTTAAT